CTGGAGTGTAGGGGACAGGGCTGTCACATGCACCCATGACGGCGAGAGTGGGACTTGTGAGACAGCCGGAGCAAATGTTAGCGACAGATGAATCAGAGCGGAGGGCACGCATTTGTTCTTTGTACTGCTCTTGCAACCTTTCCAAAAGTTTGAAATGATCTTAAACTACAAAGCTAAAAGGACAGGCCTCGGCCAGAGTTTGTACTGTAGGACCTACTCATATGGTGCTTGACCCACACGGACTTTTAAAAAATTGGAATTTCTTGTTAACATTTAAACATGGGGAAATCGTACACGGAAATCTGCATTCCTAGCTCCTCTTGCAAAGGGAGCACTGAGGTCACACTGGCTGGCTCCTGCAGGCAGCAATGGGAAGCACCGGCCATCTTGGTTTGGCACCCGCGCTCTCCCTGCCTGGCCCTGCAGACGCGTGAGTTTGCAATTCCTGAACATTTTTACTCTGCCCAGTCTGAATATATCAGAAGTGGGATGGTGTCTGTCTACCTGTCCCAGGGAACCTGACAGATATTTGTGATTTCCTTGGTACCCTGAGCACTGGGGTCATCTGGTCTTTCCGAAGGCAGGTATGCCCCCATTTGTCAGATGGGGAAACTGAGGGCCTGAGGGGCAGAGGTCTCAGTGGGAGCCAGTGGAGGACTGGAACCTGGGTGTTCTGCTTCTAAACATCATGCTGGTTCTGCACCACACAGCACTCCGTACCTGCAGGGTTTGCAAAGAACAGTCGCATCTGTTCATGCCTGTGGTCCCCACAACAGCCCCGTGGGGTAGGCAGTGGGGGCCCCCAGCTCCGCCAATGCATAGACCCAAACATGGAGGCTCAGAGAGGTGAAAGGACCTGTCCAGGCACACAGGCCGATTATCGCTGGACCAACGGGCTGGAACTAAGTGTTCTCTGCCTTCTTCTAGGCTGAACCTGTATGTCAGACGCCAGCAGGGGGTTTCTGAACTGCCATAAGGACACCACAAGCACCCCAGCCCTGTCTCTGTGTTTCTCGAGGGTTGTCCAACCAGAAGGCCAGCAAGGCTTCCAACACACATCAAGGTGTCTGGTCGTGCACAAAAATGAGCGTCCAAATGTGTGCTCTGCGGAGAGTTCAGAGCACTGGGGAAGACAGCAGTCAAGGCAACCCCCCCAGAGGAGGCGGGCTGAGGCAGGCGAAGGCAGGGAGGAGCTGCATGGCGGAAGGAAGCCGGCAGCCCGGAGAGGGAAAGGCAGACGTCCGAGAGGAAGGAAGAGAGGGGACGTGGACGTTGCTGGAGATGCCACACTCCAACAGCACCGCAGGAGCGGGGCTGACTGTCCCATTTCACAAGTGAGGAAACGAAGGCTCGGAAAGGGGGAGAAGTTTGTCAGGGGTCTCCAGCCACAGAGGGGCAGAGCTGGGACTGGACCCAGGCTACTTCACCCCCAAGTCCAGGTTCCCCCCAGGCGATGGGGAAGGGAACCAACCCATCTCAGGCTTCCCTGTGGCAGCACTGTGCTAGAGGGCCGCCCACTCACACCACCGCCGACCTCCCTATCCCCTCACAGGGAGACCGGGGCTCAGAGAAGTGAAGCCATGTACCTAAGGCCACACAGCGAGTTCACTCCAGAGCTCAGGCCAGTTCAGCCTGGCTGTCTCTCTGCTCTCTCTACACCTCTGCACAGCCGCCCACTCCTCGCTCGGAGGACAGTGCCTGAGGTCTGCAGGGCCCCGGGCTGAAGCTGGGCACAGGCTCCTGAGAGTCTCTGGTCCGTGCTCCCAGTTGCTTGGACCTGTCTGGGTGGAAGGGTTGGTGAAGAAGCATATCACGGCAGTGTCCCTCTGTCTGCATATGGCCAAGGACAGAAGGACCTACAAAAGTGAGACCAGTTAGGTACGATGGGGTGCAGGACTGCAGATTTTATTTGAGTTGGTTTGCACAGTGAAAACTCAATCAGCATTACAAGTCTGTGCCTGAATGGGCCAGGCACAAAGTGGAGTGGTGTAGGCTGAAAGGCGAATCCCAGGTGGGCAGGGGCTGACTGCCACAGGGCAGAGGTGATCATGGAAGCCTTCATGGAGGAGGCAGGGCCTGAGCAGATGGGCGGGAGTTAAATGAGCAAAGAGGAAGGAAGAGGATTGCCTGGGAGGATGGAATAGCCTCAGCAGCTGCAAGTTGGAGAGAACAAATGAGGGGGATCTGTAGGCGAGGGTCACGGGGAAGGAGTGCGGTGGATCTGTGACTCTCAGGGCTGGGAGGGGCACTGAATGCAGTGCCCACCCAGGGGGCCACTCTACAACACCTCCACCCACAGCCTGCTCACACACAATCAGTGACGGGGAACTTACACTACCTTATAGGCAGCCCCTTTTGTCCTAGAGCGTTTCTGACTGTTACAGAATTCTTCCCTTTTCAGTTATACTATTTTCTACTGGGCCAACGATGCCCTTTCTGTCTTCCCCGCATGAGTTTGAGCTAAGCCACATCCCCTTGCCCTGCCAACCCCACACAGCTGCCTTTCGGAATGCCCGCGCTGCAGGGACACCACTGAGTTTCACTTTCCTCGATCTAGTTCATCCTGCACCCTGTGGCCATCCTTGTGGATCCTGGCTCTTGTTTTCTTTTTGCCACCCTCCCTGCGCCCACGGTCTCTGAGAGCCCGGTGGGCACACTTTCCACGTTACGACAGGCTAGAGCTCCAGGGAAGGCTGCTAGACACCTCCCACCAGATCACCGGCAATCCAGGAATCGGCACCAACCCACCGCAATCTCCAGGCTCCAGTGCGCCCTTTTCCTCTTTGCCCACAAGGACGTCCCCGAGACCTTGGCTGATGTCTCTTGACATCCAGAGGCCCCAGACCTGCTCCATCTACCTGGGCTTCCAGCCAGCCTGATAGATGGAGATCAAGGCTGCTGGTTGAACTGGGGCTCAGGGTCCCCATAGTGGCGTCTTATGGTCACCCCATTCTTGTCCCAGCGCTCACAAGCCACCACTCCCAAGCTGACGGGAATGTTGCTGAGAACCAATGCTGACCCCCGCAGCCTGGGTGTCACGGGAGTCACTGGGATTCCTGCTCACACCTGGAATGCCTCCTATCTGCTCCCGTCCCCTTGTGCTTGTCTGCGGAGGGGCAAGTGCCTTCCTGTCACCAAGGGCCTGCGAGCCTGGGCTCTCCTGTGGGACCCCTTGGTCTCCCGGGACTTCTGGCTGCCTTGGGGACATCCCAGCCCCTCCCCAGTTATAAGGCTTCTCCTTGATAGAGAGAAGGGACACAGAGCCAGAGAGGTACTCCCTAAGGCCCCCAAACTCCTGCTCTCTCTCTCTCTCTCTCTCTCTCTCTCCTGTTTCTGGCCCTGAACAGTCTCCCACTCCTGTCCTCTGCCTCCGGCATTGTTTTATATTTGGCACCTCTGTTCTCTTTGGGTCCTGCTGTCCCTGCTCAGAGACCCTGCTACCCTGTGACTCACCCCAGGCTGGCTGGCTGGTTTCCCATCCCTCCCTGCCCAGCCATGTCATTTCCAGGGTCTCTCTGCACCTGTGTCTGTCTCCTTGGCTGGATGGGATGCTGTCGGGCCAGTGATTCCAAACACGTTCTCTCCCCACCCCCCTGCCAGCATCCTCCCCTCTTCCCCCTTCTCCAACCCGCCTGAGCTCTCATCGCCCATTCACTCAGGCCCGTGCCTTCCCTGGGCTCCTGAAGATCCAGATGATTCACCTGGCCACTCCTCCCAAGGATGAGTGCCTGTCTGTCAACCACATCATCCCAGAGGCAAGAGCCAGGGCCACAGGGCCGTGATCATTTATTGAGCTCTCTCCTGTGGCTCTGTGTTCCAAGAGGGCATTCTGAGACCTTCCATGATCTCTCGATCAGACCCCAGGGCCTTTGCACTTGCAGTCCCTCTGTCTGGAATGCTCTTCCTTCTGGTTTAGGTCAAATGCAACATCTCAGACAGGCCTCCCCTGACCAACTAAAATTCCTGCCCCTTCCTCTGGATCTCTGTATCTCATAACAACAGTGCAACGTCTCCATCTGGCTTATTCCCCGAAACGCGCTCACACATTCGCGTGCTTCTTCCTTTTCTGGCTCCTCCTTTACTAGATGCTAAGCTCCAGGATGGCAGAGACCTTGTTTGTCTCCTTAACCACTAGCACACAGTAGGTGCTTAATAGATGTTGATTGAATACATGCTGGATAAATAAATGCTCCAGCTTTGAATCTCACTCCTTTCTAACATCCTACCCAGCAGACCTGTTGATATTCCCCTCTGTTCTTCCAAGACATGTCACATACCTTTAGATCTCTGTGCCTTTGCACATGGTGGCCTCTGCCGGGAGGGCCCTTTCTCTGTAATTGAACTTGGTGACTCCCAGTACAGTCCTGCCTCTGGGCCTTTGCCCTTGCTCTTCCCTCTGGACAGTGCCAAGGCCAGCTCCTTCTCATCATCCATGTCTCAGCGTACCTTGTCACCTCCCTGAGAAGCCTTCCCTGCCCTCCCAGCCAGCTGCATCCCACAGCCCTGTCTGTTTCCTCCAGACTCCTGTCCCTTCTGGAATTTTTCCATTGCCTCTCGCTTCTCACCCCACCCCGAGCTCCTCAGGGCCGGGGCCTCGTCTTCCTTATTCACTGCTGTGGCCCCAGCACCCAGCCCAGTGCCTGGCACACGGCAGGTGTCTAAAATGATTGTCACCTGACTGAGTCTTTCTCATCCCTCATAAGAAGGGGCTCCAGTGAACCAAGTCCCTAGAAGGTAAGTGCTGCGAGGGCAGGATTGTCCAGTTAATTCACGGCGGTCTCCCCAGCCTGGAGTGCTGCTGAGTGCACCGCAGGCTCGATGCATGTTTCTTGGGAAAAGGGGAGGGTGTTCCACTGGGGCCGAGCTGGCCAAGATCCCAGAGCCAAGGATCAAAGTCTCTGAGATCCTTCAGCCTCATGAAGGGGACACACAGGCGTCCCGCTCCACCTGGGGGCAGGAACTGGCAATGGGGGTGTGCCTGCCGTCGGGCTGCAGCTCACCTGACAGCAGCATGGGGTCCTTGTCCACGGACTTGCGCACCTGGTCAGATTCCCCGGTCAGGGAGCTTTCATCGATCTTGAGATCATTGCCCTGGATGAAGAGGCCGTCGGCAGGGAGGAGGTCGCCTGGTGGGAGGAAGGGCAGGGAGTCAGCAGGTGGCGGGTGGCTGGAGAGGCTGGAACTTTCCCTTAAAGGTGTGACTACAAGGGAAGGTTCACCAATGGGGGCCAGATGCCTACAGCTCCCAGGGTACGGAGCCAAGACGCTGCCCATTGCAGGCCACAGGGCAGGGTAAAACCAGAGCCACGGTGAATGGCGCAAGGCCCGGGGGGCTGAGGTTGGGCTCAAGTGGCATGTACTTTACGAAGTGTCTCTCTTGGCCTGGCTTGGATTTGAAGCTCAGTTTTCTCAATGATTTGTTTTTCTCTAGGCTCAGTTACAGTTTGGGGAAATTACTGTTATTATTTTTTCACACCTTCAATTTATTCAAGTTTTGGGAAATTTTTTTAGAAGGGATTAGTCTATCTTGGCTAGGCTGAGGAGACCCCAACCATGGCACACTATCAGGGGGAAATCAAGCCCTCTAGGGCTGAATGAAGAGGAATATCCAATCTCTCATCTACCTCATGCCTCTACTTACCCAGAGCATATCTGGTCCAAACCCTCTTTGGTGTCAACCTGCCCACCTTCTCCATGGCAGTAGCGCTGGTCCATATTATTCACTCATCCACTTCTGCTCCCTCTAGCACCTCCTCAACAGCCAAATCAGGGATGGGAAATGGATTTAATCTTATAAACTTATTCTGAGTATTAGCGGTCCTTGCAGGGTTGTGTTGAGAAGGCGTCTGAGGCTGTATCCAGGCCCTGAGCTGTGATTGATAAGTAATGTCTGCTAGGGGTGGAACTTAGGAGAGTGGTGGCACATGTGCCATGTATTTGCCATTTTTGATTTAAATGGATTCTGGGATCTTGCCTCCTCCGGGAAGTACCCTTCTACTTCTCAAAGGATCTCAGAAGACATCCTGACTTGGGATCAGACTTTAGGAACCCACCCCCTTCCCTGGGCCAATCTCTATATCTGCCTGTCCTATCCCACCTCTGTCCAGACTCCAGCTCTAGAGCCTGGCTCTGTGGCTGGGACACTCACCATATTTGACCTGGGCAATGTCCCCAACCACAATCTCAGCCACAGGGATCTGGACCACCTGGCCAGCCCGGACCACGGTGAACTTCTGTTCCTGCTCAATGCGGCTCTGCAGGCCCCGGAACTGTTTCTCTTTGCTCCAGTCATTGAAGGCGGTGACCAGGACCACGCAGATGACCGAGAGCAGAATGGCAGCCCCCTCGATCCAACCGGCCTCCGCCTCTCCTTCATCCTCTGCCCCGCCCTGGGCCGTTGCACATCCTGCAAGAGCAGAAGGAGGCAGGCAGTGAGGCTTGGCAGGCGGGAGGGGCCTCCTGGGCCTGGACTTGAAGCCCAGCTCTGCCAGGTAACAAGTGCTGGTAATCCGATGACGGCGATCCCTTTATTCCGTGCCTGGTGCCACGCCCCGCGCAAAGTGCCTCGCACGGATCAGCTCACGGGCACGCACGCTGCCCATTTCACAGGTGTGGGAGCTGAGGCCTCTCAGAGGGGTCGAGTGACTTGCCCAAGCTAGGAAGGGCAAGCAGGGAGCTAGGATGTACAGCCAGGCAGTTCGGAGCCCCCCGTCTTAGCCACTCGGGCTCCCGCCTTTGTTCCAGCTGTGAGGTGGTGGGAAAATGACTCCACCTCTGTGAAGCTCAGTTTTCTCATCTGTAAAATGAGAAGAATATTCTTTATCGTGGGGATCTATTGTGAGGGGTGGAATTTAATGAGGTGAAGTCCACGGAGTCTCCAGCATAGACCGGGCACAGAGGAGAAAAAAGAGAGAATTTATTTTCCCTAACTGATGAGAAAAGAAATAGAATTTTCTCTAATTTATGAGAAAAGAGAAAAAGTATGGTTTTTCACAGAATGAAGGCAGCCAGCCGTGCACGTGCTTTAGGGCTGACGTGCGTTTTTGCCGACGTCCTCTCTTCCCGATCTTCCAGCAACCAGGAGGCAGCTCTCCAGGCAGCAGGGCTGGGGGCAGGGGCCACAGCCCCACTGGTTCTGCTCCTGCTGCTGCCCCTGCATGATCCTGGGCAGGTCACTGCCCCCCGCCCGGCTTCAGCGGCCTCATCTGCAAAATAGGAATCCTTGAGACCCCTTCCCGGGCCCAGGGAGAGGGAGGCAAAAGGTGTCGGCCAGTGCTCAGCGTGCAGGAGGCTCCAGCTCAGGCCTTGCGAGCTGAGGGCGGAGCTGCCTGCACAGCCAGGGCACCGACACTCGTGCTGCAGGCCACCCCGCTGCATCCCGCACCCTCGCACCATTGAACCTCCCAGTCTGGGCCCCTGAACTCTCCGCGTCTGCAGACCCACGGGGTGAAGAGAAAAAAGAAAAACATCGGGCACATTGGATCCGAAAGCCTCCAGCCCAAAGGCAGGCGGGTCCTGATTCATGAGGGGCTGAGCCTAAGGCCTTTCCAAGCCTCTCCCCGTATCCTTCCGAGGATCCTGAGAGTCAGAGCTATTACCCCATTTACAGAGGCCCAGAGAGGTGAGATGCCCCAGCCAGGATGAGCCCAGGCTTTGTTTCCACTGGGGTTGGGGAATGACCATCTCCATGGAAAGTGACCTTGAGCAGTGTCTGACCACCCACTCTTGGAAAACGCAGAGTGGTCCCTTCCATGGGGGCCGGGCAGGGGACCAGGGAATGTGCAAGGCCTTCTGTGCACTAAGCATTCGCTTTAAACCTCAAGTGGGCAGAGAGAAGGGAAGTGGTTCAGAGAAGGGTGGCGACTCATCTGGGGTCACACAGCAGATAGTGGGGTTTAAATCCAGGCCTGGAATCTGACACCAAATCTGGCCTACACACTACCCCTGAGCCCAGTGGCTCCCTCTGCCACGTGCTTGCCAAAGACTCATGGCTGACCACCTGGAAGTCCAATTCAGTCTCAAGGAAAAGAAAGCAGCAGTTTCAAGAGAACCTACCAGAAGCTTCTGGAAAGCCAGGGGTCAGAGCAACATGACAAGAAAGCCAAGTGTTGCCTGGGGAACATTTGGTGGCTTCTGGTTCCTGGGAGGGTTGGGGCTCAGCTGGTGGGCCCAAACTTGGGGAGGCACAGAAACACTGTGGCCCAGCAGTGTGTGACACTGGAGAAGTGCAGGCCTGTAGACAATGTCACCATGTGGGGCTCTCGAAGCCGCTTTTTCCCCCCTGGGAGTTTTAGACTTTTCCAGTAATTTAAAGCTGTTTACCAGGACCAGCCTTGGTGGTAATGATAATAATCACGGTGCTAATGATGAGTGACATTGGGCCAGCCCTGAGTTCGAATCCCAGGTGTGGTACTTAACTGTTGTGTGCCCGTGAGCGAGCTAGCTATTTAACCACTGTGCCTCAGTTTTGGTTTTCTTATCTGCAAAATGGGCATAATAACAGGCGCTCCCTCATAAGGCAGTTGAGAGGGCCGAGAGCCTGCGCGTGAAGCGGCGCTGCAGCGAGCACACGGTACATGCTCGGGGAAGGCGGCTGCCGCTCGGTTTCCAGTGCATGGCGCCTTGTCGCACTCGAGCTCCACAGCCTGCCTCCGTGGAGCCCCGAGCCCCGTTACAAAGGGGGTCCAGCTGGATTTTGGTAACGTGATGATGGGATGAGAGAGGAACTAGGGCACGTGCCCTGCGCCACCCTGGAGGACACCAGTGGAGCCCCCAAAGACTGGGAGACATGGGTGAACCTTGCTGACCAGAAACAGAGTACACGGAAACGCGTCCTCCTGGGGCTTAGGGGTGGGGAGGGGAAGGAGCAACCCGAGACACAGAGCCCAGTGCCCCATTTCGCAGGACTTGCGTTAGCCGCCCTGCTGTGTGCACCGTGAACGGGAAGGCCGCTACTTCCCCCGTCGTGCTCCTCAGCGGGGCCCCTGCCGGAGCAGCTGCTGGAGCACTCGACACTTAGAGACAGGACGATGGAAAGTTTCTGGGCTCAGGAATTGGAAAGGCCGAGCTTCAACTCCAAGCTCTGCTATGTGACCTTAGGGAAGTGACTTGGCCTCTCTGAGTCTCAGTTTGGGCAGCTGTAAAGTGGGATAACCCCAGGGATTTTGTGAGCCAAGGGGCTGGCATGTGGTGGATACATGGTAAATGTTGGTTCTCTCCTCATTTCATGAGCTCCTCTCCCTGAACTGGCCGCTGAAAGCCAAGGGCACAGTGGCTGAGCAGGATTCGCACCCTCTTCCCACGCCCAGCCTGTCAGTTGCCCTTGCCACCTCACTACCGAGGAGCCTTCTGAACCTTGGGGACATTCCCTCTGCCAGCAAAAGCCAATTAGCTTTTATCTCCTTTTGAGAACTGACGGTCCCACGGTGCCTTGGGACGGCTAGAAAGCGGGTGTGCAGCTTGCTGCGTTAGGCCGTCAGCCACCCGGGAGCTGCGGACCCTGGGAACAACTCCTGCTGCCCTGGGGGTAGTTACGGGGAAGAGAAGAGGAAGGGGAAGGAAGCGGGGAGGGGGAGAGGCCCTCCTGAGGTCTCCTCTAGGGCGCCCTTGGACTGGGGCAGGGACAGGATCTGGAGACTGTGGTCACAGGGTCCGGGGAACTGCAGCTGCTCTCCCTGGACCTGGGCTGTATAGGGTATGGCCTTTCCCTGTCTGCGTGACCTCCGGGAAGCCACTTGGCCTTTGTGGACCTCAGTCTGCTTGGGATATCTGCCTCCTAGGTGGTTATCAGAGTCTGGCATTCAAAAAGAGCCCCTCAAAACTGATCAAGCCACGAACATTTTCTTTTCCTTTCTTTTTCTTTTTTTTTGAGGCAGCATCTCGCTCTGTTGCCCAGGCTAGAGTGCAGTGGCGTCCTCATAGCCCACCCCAACCTTGAACTCCTGGGCTCACACGGTCCTCACACCAGCCTCCCAAGTAGCTGGGACTACAGGCGTGCATCACCACACCCGGCTATTTTGTTGCTGTTGTTGTAGAGATGGGGTCTCACTATGTTGCTCAGGCTGGTCTTGAACTCCTGGTCTCAAGCGACCCTCTTGCCTTGGCTTTCCAAAGTGTTACGATTACAGGCATGAGCTACCACACCTGGCCAAGCCACACACATTTTCTAAGCACCCACTGTGTGTCTGCCACTCTGCTGGCACCCTAGCACCAGGGGAGCTGTCACTAGCAGGGGTTGGGAGCACCAGGTGTGTCAATCCCAGCCCTGCCATGAGCAGGCTGGGTCTGGATTTGAACCCACAACCCTCTGGGGCCCAAGCCCGGCGGTTTTCACCCTCTAAGAACAGGTCTCCTTGGGAAGACATGCCGTGTGACGGGCGCAGCCAGATCCTCTAGTGCTGCCATCCTGTCGTATCCCTTTGCCTGCCCCTAAACCTGACCCTGGAAATGAGTCCAGATGTGCCCCTGGCTCTCTGAGACTGTCCCCAACAAGGGAAGCCCAAGGCCTGGCTCGAGGTCACAGGCCGCAGCTCTAGGCCAGTCCTCACGGTTGTGGAGCTCCGGTTTCCTCAGCTGTCCAGTGGGGCGGGGGTGGGGATGCCACGGCCCGGGGCTGAGGATGTCTGTTCAGAGGCACTTAAGATAACGGCAGGTGGTCAATAACACTGAATGACTCACACACAGTTGGGGTCTGAATGGCAGCTGGTGGTAGGACGTTGTCCATCTTTCCTGCAGGGCTGGGTTGTAACTAACCCTTCCCTTCTTCTTCCCTCCCTCCCTCCCTTCCTTGCGCTGAAGGACCGCTGTTGCTCCTCATGCAGAACCTCCCGAGCCCGCTCTGTGTGCGCAGGGTCTGCCTGCCGCGCCGGAAGCACGGGGCCCTCTGGCGCAGGCCCTAACTCCTGGATCTCCAGATCCGGGGCACCGGGCCTCCGAGGCCCCAGTCTGACAGGTGCCGGGGCTTTGGAATCTGCGGTTCTAAGACGCTCACGCCGTCCACCTCTGCTTTGCCACAGAAGACACCAGAATTGTAGGGTGTTGACAATAACGTGGCTACCCTTCTGCAGAGGGGAGGGATCGGCGCGTGGATAGAGACGCTGCTTCCTGTGCACGGGGCTCTGTGCTGATGGGACCGTGTGCTGAGCACCTGGCATTATTTTCTCTAGTCCCGACAAGAGCCCCACAGGGTAGGTACTGTTATCGCCTTATTTTGTGGATGAAGTCACTGAGGCTGGGAGCACCGAGGGCCGGCCTGTGTCTGGGGTCAGACAGGCAGACCTGGGCCCTGAGCCCAGGCCCTGACCACTGGCTTCTGCTGCCTCCAGGAGGTGGCAGCTGGTGTCAAAGAGAAACCAGGTTCATCTCACGATTTCAAATAGAACTCAGTGCCCTCGCAGCGATGGCACAGTTTCCACACTGGCTGCCCAGGGAAGGCCCTGCTGGGGACGTCGGGCAAGGCTCCCGGTCTGTGAGATGGCTGTGGGGTCCACGAGAGCCCTGGCGTGGAGTGCCAGCACCACTAGGTGCTCAGCAATGGCCGGGCCCTCAGTAACCGGGGGCCAAAAGGGAGACGGCAGGGCCACGTAACTTTCCCTGCCACCTTCCCTGGTGAAACCGACATTTCCCCCAGAACCTCTGGAATTGTGGGGGTTTCCTTGCACTTGATGGGGGCTGGGGACTGATGAAGCCCGAGTCTAACTCGGGGCAGGGATCCTGGCAACCTGAAACGTTCCGAGCTCAGGCCGGGGCATGGGTTTTGGGGAGAAGAAATAAGTACAGTCACAAAGTCCAGGAACTATTTTTTTCTCATGGGGCTGAGTACATGCAGCTGCCGTTGACCCAGGTTGTGGTCTGAGCTACAGCCTCGGCCAGCGGTGGAGAGGAGCAAGGGAAAGAACCCTACCGACTGGGTTTGAAGTCTAGCTCCGCCACCTACAAGCTTTGCAGCCTCAGGCAAGCCCTTCCCCTCTTTGGGCCTCAGTTTCCACAGCCCTAAGATGGAAGCAATCGCAGCTGCCCGGCTGGGGGGCTGTGCGGAGGCTCCTCCCGGCACACATGGAGAGTTGTTCGGTGTTCCCACCGCACCCTCCACCACCTGCCCCTGAGTTCTACTCTTGCACCAAACTGGGTCACACGAGGCCACTTATCTGGGCTGACTCAGGCCGATCCCTCCCTGAGGAAGCACAGCTGAGGGACAGGAGTGAGGAGCCAGAACGCCTCGGTCTGAGTCATGGCTCTGCCACTTCCTCGCTGGGTGACCTTAGCAAGCCATTTACCATGTCAGGGCCTCGGTTTCCTGCATAATAATGGCACCTACCTACAGAGTTGTGAGATTGAAGATTAAATGGACTTCTCCTATAATAGCTCCCAACTAGTGGTAGCTATAAAAACAGTAAGGATTATTATCATCATTCTGCATTTGTGTTGCACCCTTAGCTTTGTTCAAGGCTTATTCAAGTAGCTAAGTACAATCTTCTATATTTGCTATAAAACTTCTGCAAAGAAGGCTGCTCATTATGCATCTCTTACAAAGTCCTACCTGAAAGATCATCCCAGAATTCATTGTCAGGAGAAAGGTCATCTTCCTGAAGAATTAATATTTTTCCTTGTTGATAACTTGAACTATGCAAATGATCCTAATTCCCTTTCTGCCTTGGCTGCCAGGAAGCTCAAGTTAAATTTAAATCTCAATCATGGTAGCAATTAGATCTGGTTTATTTGCTAACGTTCCTTTTCTGCCTGGCTTTCTATTTGACCTCATCTTGTGAGATATGTCCCTCTTGTGTCTTTAAACTCTCTATGGAAATATGTCATGCAGAAAAGAAAAAATCAACTTAGTATTATATGCACAAAATTGAGGTAGCTGGCCTAATAGAATTGGTTATCCAGCTTCTTGGGCAACTTTAGCTTAGGAGAGGGTAGGGTGACAGATGTTCAAGGGACCTCAGAGGCCACCTCCTTGTTTGGGAAAATGAGGCCCACAGTGGTTATTTCCTATATGCTATTATCTTTTATGTGCTTGTCTGAATAGCAAATAAATTATTATCTATTTATGTACCACATTCATTAGGGAATGTTGGATCATAATCGCAAAAGCAGTTATAAAATCCTATTAATTGAGCAAGCGGATTATAAAACCACCTAACAACAAAATAACACATCTCACGCGATCCCGGCTATCTATCTGGCGTGCTGTATGTATATATACTCACTTGGGATCCACAGAGCTTGGGTTAGCAGTGGGTTCTCTCTGGGTGGTAGGTAGGATTGTGACTGATTTTGTTTTTCTTATCTGCATTTTAGACTTTTTCTACAGCAATCGTGGGGGGCTTTTGTAATATGCTAATTACATGTGTATTTTTAATTTAAAGCAACATTCACCAGGAGAGGTCTAAAAGACCTGGCCACCACAAAGGACAGCAGCGTGGGGCTGGAGAAGCCCTGCCCCTCCGCAGGCGCTCGGTACCCGTTTCTGGAATAAAAGGATGAGTGAGCGGAGGTCAAGGTTTTCCCACAGCAGTCGTAAGTCCTGACTTTGGGAAGAGTGGGCTTGCTTGGGACCCTCCCTGGCGGGGGGGGGACGGTGCTTCTTCAGCCTATGGAGCAGTGTCCCCGTTGAGAATCCAGAGACAGAGTCTGGGATGCCCCCTTGAGACCGAGTCTGTGCATGTGGGAAAGCGCAGTCGGCATCAGTGACACGAGTATGTCCATCACATGGAACCAAGCCCAGCGACAGGGCCGCGAAAGGCAGAGAGGTGCAGAGGGACTGAGCAGCCTTCTCACGCGAGGCAGGAAGGATGGGGTCCGAGACGAAGGCTGCAGAGGAAGCGTGGGGCCGCCACGCCCATGGCAGGAGCAGGGCCAGCGCCCAGCAGCCGAGTGCCGGGCTGCGTCGGCACTGGGTACGAGACCCTTCATCGCTCCTTGCGGTAACCTTGTGGGGTAGGATCACTTGCCCTGTTTTGCAGATAAGGAAACTGAGGATCAGAGAAGGAAAGAGCCTTGCCGAAGGTCACGCAGCTAGGAAGTGATGGAGACAGGATTTCAACCCGGGTGCCTGACTTCAGAGGCTGGGCTTTTTTCTCCTTCCACACTCGGAGGGAGAGGGGAGGGTTGTGGGGAGAGGCAGGGGAGAAAGAGGGAGGGAGGGAGATTTTCATGAGGCCAAACCTCCCAGCCCGCTCTTCCAGGACAGAGGCGGGCAAACTCTTTCTGCGGAAGGCCGGACAGTGAGTGTTTCAGGCCGTGCGGGCCACGTGGCTCTCGCCGCTCACCCTCGCTGCAACGTGGAAGGGAAGTGCACATGCTCAGATGAAACTTTATTCTTAAACCAGGAAACATATATTATGTGTCATATTTCCATGTCATGAAATATTCTTCTGGTATTTTTCAATCATTTAAAAATGTAAAAAGCACCCTTAGCTCATAGGTGAGGCCATCCAGACGTGGCCTGTGGACAGCAGGGTGTCCATCCCTGTCCTAGAATATCAGGTGCAGAGACCTCTGACATCGCCATGAATGTTTTGCAGTGGCGTGCCTCATGGGGAGGGGACTTGGGGATTCCGGGAAGCAGCCCAGCTTTGGAGGGCCCTGCAGAGGCGGGCTGCCCTGAGGGATACCGGTGAAGGGAGCTGAAGCACCTCAAATCAGACGATGTCTGCAGCCCCCAGGGTGAGCATTTCGGGGGCTCTGTCTTCAGGGGTGAAGGAGAGACCCTCACAGACCCTCACCTGTGTGCCTGCGAACATCCAGACGTCCAGCTCCAGTCTCTGTCCAACAGGACCAGACCCTCTCAGGGAGGGCTGACACCCATGCTCTTAACAAGCTCCCCAGGAAACGCTGAGGACTCCTTATTAGCTGGCGACCGCAAGCAAGTACATCCACTTTTCCGCGCCTTGGTTTCCTCATCTTTAAAATGGGCACAAGCATGGCCCCTGCTGCATGGGGTTATTAGGACGACACTGCGGCCTGGAGCTTGGCATGGTGTAAGTGCTCAACGATGCTCACTGTGACCACCACTTGTTGGCGCCACCCTTGCACTGCACACATGGGAAAACTGGGGCCTGGTTCCACTACGGTGGTGGCGAGGCCCTGTCCCCTGGGCCTCGGTTTCCTCCCCTGGAAGGAGCGGTGGCCGTGAGCCCCGAGCACGCTCCAGTGTGGACGCCGTGTCCACATGTGCACGCTCGTGGCGGGAACAAGTGGGGTCCGAGGCCGTCTTACCTTCATTGCTCTCGCCAGGTGGGTGGTAGAAGGACAGCCCCAGGGAGATGATGGCAGCGATCTCCAGGATGATGAGCGTCACGTCCTGCAGCGCCTCCCACACAAGCTGCAAGAAGGTTTTTGGCTTCTTCGGAGGTATAAAGTTTTGCCCAAAAATCTGCTTTCTCTTTTCCAGGTCTGGAGCCGTGCCCGGCAAACCTGTGGACAGAGCGCAGAGAGGTTGGCTCGGGGGCTGGGCGGGACACGGGGGCAGTGCCAGGAATCTAGGGCCAGAGAGGGGCAAACAGAGCAGGAAACTTGCAGGCACCTGGCCCAGGAGTTCACACCTCCACGGGCTTTGGGCCATGAGTGGGCTGAACAGTGGCCCCCAAAAGATATGTCCACATCCGAACCCCCGGAACCTGTGAGTGTGACCTCATTTGGGAAAAGTCTTTGTTGATGTAATTAAGTTAAGGACCTTGAGGTGAGGTCATCCTGGATTATTTGCATGGGCCTTAAATCCAGCGACAATTGTCCTTATGAGAGACACAGACACGGGGAAGATGGCCATGTAAAAACGGACGCAGAGACTGGGGTGATGCAGCCACAAGCCAAGGAACGCTGGAGCCACCAGGACCTGGAAGAGGCAAGGAGGGGTCCTCCGCCAGCATCTCCAGGGAGGGGCAGCCCTGCCGACACCCTGATTCAGGGCTTCTGGCCTCCAGAGCTGTGAGAGAACAAATAAGGCCCCAGCGTGTGGTCGTTGCTCTGGCAGCTGTGGGACGCGAACACACAGCACCGTGCCCGCCCCGCACCAGGCCCCGTTCTTTGTTTGCGTTTCCACCCACCCTCCCGCCGAGTGCAGCACGACAGATGAGAGAACAGCCTCTCTAGAGGCTCTGCTGGATTCCAGTCCCGGCCTGATGGCCCTAGCTCTCTGAACCTTGGTATCCTCTGTAATGGGGTGGGGACCGTACCTAACCCACGGCGTGGCTGCGAGTACCACAGGAGGTAATGCATGTGGTCCGTGAGCATTTACTGAGCACCTACTAAGTGCCTGGCACTGTCGTAGACACAGGAACAGAGCAGCCAACCAGACAGAGCGCCCTGCCCCGGGAGCTGACCTCGCCTGGGTGCCTGTGCCGGGTGCTCAGAGCCGCCCGCGGCCACTCAGTTGACCCAGCAGTTGCGCCGCTTCTGGGTGAGGGAGCGAGGTGCGGCCTGGCAAAGCCCTCATTGTGTGGGGCCTGGTCAGTGGTAAGGGCCCACTTCCAACCCACCACTTCTTCATTTCCAGGTGCTTCTTCCAGACTCGCGCCCTGCCCAGCAACCCTGAGAGGCTCCTCAGCTCCGGAATGAAATCCGCGCTCCCCTGCCTGGCTCCCCGGCCTCCTGACCTGACCCTGGAGTGAGGTCGGCAGCCTCATCTTTCGCTACGTGGCTTCATCCCAGCGTAGCCTGGCAGGTCCCTGTCTGGCGTTCTCTTCCTCCTGCCACACTGTGCTTGTGCCGCGCCCGTCTCTGCCAGTGTCCCTGCTGCTGTCTGCTGTCTGTACGTCCCCTCCATCGCTCACCAAAGGCCAGAAGTCCAAGCAGGGCTGGCCTTCAGCCCACTCCTGACAACCAGCACGCTTGGAGGACTGGAACAGTAGGCTTTTAAGTTGATGGGGGCCTAGTGGTTTAATACGATTCGGTTCCAGGATTCCACCAGTCTGTTGTTCACTGGCTCATTCATCCATTCGTGCGCTCAATTTGCATTTCTTGAGTCCCCACCATGGGCCCAGCCTAGTGATGTGGGGAGAGTGAGGTGCAGGTAACAGGCCCAGCCACCCGTGGACAAGAGCTGAGTGGTCCTGGGAGCCCAGCGGCCTGAGGTTCAGGGGTACAGGGAGACAGGCATTTTTCCTGTCTGCAGTTCTAGGTGCTGGGTGTCCTCTGCTGCCGACAGTGAGAACTCCATCGGGAGCCTCCAAGAGCCAGGATGGCCGAGACCCCCGGGGGAGAGCTCAGGGATGGCTCGTTCCCCAGGAGGCCTCGCACCAGCCTCTCCTGTCGGCTCTGCAGATTTCACATCCCACCTGTGCAGTGACAGTGAGGTTATGCCCACTTTATAGATGGGGAGAAAGGCTTCCCATCTGCCCCAGCTGCCTCGGGGTAGCTCCTGGGCCCCCGAGAACCCAGCTAGCCCTGAGCAGATAGAGAGGTTGCCTCCACTGTCCGTGCCAGGGCGGCCATCTGGGCTACCTGCGCGCAGAGCAAGCAGGCACAACACACCATAGTGCGCCTCCAGGAGCTGTAGGAAGGTTCCTGTCTTCCTCCCTTCGTCCAGTTCCACCCACTGCCAACGTCTGAAATTCTCCTACTTGAGCTTTATTCCTCTAACTAAAGGCTCCAATTCCTTTAGACTTCCTGGGAGGGAGAAGCCATCCTCAGTTCCAGGTGCCACGGCGTGAGTGACTTTCAGGCTTTTCCCTGGGAGTGGGTTTTGACAAGGGGAGAAGGGGGAGTTCAAGAGGGTGGTGGGCTCTGACCAGCCCACATTGGTCTGTTATAGGAGTTGCTGTGCCTTTGGCCAGCCAATTCCCTTCTCTGAGCCTCAGTTTCCCCATCCCAACAATGGTGGAGTTCAGTAAGATGGGTATGCCCCAAGGATCCCAGAGGTTCCAAGGTCTGCAGGCCCCGAAGTGGTTCTGCTGAGGTCTGTTTCCACATTTTGGGAGAGCTCTTGATAAAATTTGCTGTAAATAAGAGGCTTTGCTAAGAAAAAGCTTGGTGAGGGTGGGGCCAGCCCATCCCTTCTTGATTAACTCAAAGAGAAAGCGGTCTCTGAACCTTCTGAGGTTCTGTGAGCCAAACGTTCTGGAGTGTAGAGTGTGAACGGCTGATATCATGTGGATGTTCTCCAGTTCTGGGAGCCAGGCCACAGCTCTGGGGGCTCTGTCGTGCTGGGAGCCACAGGCCAGGCACTGGGACCCTGAGTCCTGGGACAGCAAACAGGGTAGGGGTGGCAAATTTGAACAGGTTTTGTGATGAGTGAAGTAGGTGGGTGGGAGATGATGGGGAGCAGTGGGGTCTGCGGCAAAGTGAACAATCTCAGTCCTTCTAAAGGGGGCAGCCGTTTCTCAGCTCCCGTGGGGGACTGTGGGCCCAGTTGGCGGATCTTCCAGTTTTCTAAGAGAAGCTGGATCTGGAATTTGCTGTAAAATCTCCCCATTAAAAATATTCCAGGACCAAATACAGCCCTCAGCTTGCCAGTTTGAGACCCGCGAGGCTATGGGGTGGGGTGGGGGAGGGGCCAGAGCAGGGCAGCCTCCCTGGCCTCCCTCCTGGGCAGCTCCCTTCCCAGCGCCAGGCCCCGCCCTGCTCGCTCGGGCTTCAGAGAAGACCTCTGTCTTTCCGAAATAACTCAGGGAACAGAAATATTCGTATCTTCTGCTAGGGCTTTTCCCATGGCAGAAACTTCTAGGCAGTTTCCACAACACCCAACACCCCAGAATCTAAGTCCAAGAGCGGACTCCTGGGCACGGAGGCCCACGTGGGGCCTCTGAGATGGTATATGTGGCCACGACACCCCACTCACCATCTTCCTATCAGCGAAGGCGGGCCAAGCTGGAGCTGGGCATACCAGGCCCCAAGAACACGGGTGGGGTTTGGGCTCAGACCTTGGGCCTGGGCTCAAATCCCAGCTCTGAGTGACTCTGGGTAAGTGACCTCACTGCTCGGTGCCTCAGTTTCCCATTTGTAAAACGCAGGCAGCAGCAGTGCCTATTTTACAGGGGTGGGGTGGGGCTTCGGCGAGATGTCTCCCGCGAGGGGCACAGCACTGCGTCTGTGTCAGGTGAGCGGACCGTACTATGACCACTGTCCAGTTTTTAGGCTGTGTGGGAGATTCACCCAGACCTCCTGGGAGAGGAAGGCTTTGGACTGGCAGGATTTTGGTAAGACGGAGAGGGGTCGGTTCAGGTGAGGAAAGGCACGGCAGAAGGGCCTTGTGACTGAAGGCAAACCACTTCCCCTCTCTGGGCCTCGGTTTCCCCACATGTGACATGAAGGACTGGCCTGGATGAAGGCGGGGGCTTTCTGTACTCTGTATCCAGAGACAGTGGTTTTGAGGACCTGCAGGTGGGACATGTGGCCTGGTCCAGCCCACCCACCACGCCCTTCCCAGGAGCTGAGCCTCGTCGTCTCCCTGCCTTCCCGCTGAACATCAACACACCTGGTTTTGGGAGCAGAAACAACAGAGGTTGGTGTGAGAGATGGCGTTAGAGATTCGATTTAGATTAGAGAGCATCTCACCATTTAGCATGTTAGAAATTAATATAGTATGCCGAGTATCACTAGACAAAGCCAGGGAGGCCCCGAAATTCAGAAACACAAATGCCCAGACAGATGCTGCGGGGTATGGGTGTTCCCCTGTGAATTCGCTTTCTGAACAAGACAGAGCACGGGGCCAGGAGCCAGGCTGGGGTCTTGGCTCTACCCGGACTTACGAGTGAACTTGAGCCATTTGTTTCATCCTTCAGAGACTCAGTTTTCTCATCAATAAAATAACCCCTAGGCTGGGGAGAGCCACACGCAGAGCAGTGGTGCGAAAGCTCTCTGCAGACTACAGCACAATCATTGTGTCTTCGTGGTGAAACATACATCGGCACTTGCCCAGACTCTTCTCCCGGGGTCAGACCCGGGGTGCCCTATACTTGCACAGAGAAGAAACCACAGGGCAGAGCGGGGCACTCTGGCTGTGCAGGAACTGCTTGTTGCAATGGCTGCTTGCTGTCCCTGGGCATTTTGAGAAATCTCTGTCCCAAAGTTCATCTCTACTCAGCTGTCCTGGACACTAACGGGCTTTCCCAGCCTCTAAGCCTCTGCCCTGGCACTCCCCACTCCTCTGCCCGGAGTGCCTTCCTCTCTCTTCTCAGCCGTTTCTGACCCCTGCTAACAGCAGCCTCAGGCCATCAGAGGTTTTATTTGGTCTGCCGGTGTTTTTAAAAAGTGGACATTTTTCAGAAACGTTCGAAACTCAGGCAATTCCACATAACATCCCGAGGTCTGGCGCGCCATGCACCGACCTAAGTTGGAACTCGTGATTGGGAGTTGTCTGACTCAAACGCCAGCCCCACATCAGCTCTGTTAAGGAAAGCCTGGGCGACAGTGCGCGGCGGCTGGTCTCTCAGGGCAGAGGGAGCCTGTGCCTTGTCGGGCCACAGAGCACAGAGCTG